TTCAGAAGCGATTCTTCCTCTCCTGTGGTGTGATGTGCATTCAAAGGCTCCATCCTTGAAAGACACCATGTGTCAGAATCTAGCTGAGTGTGCCACTGCTTTCCCAACAATGCCTCTCTATTCACATTGAAATGGTACCCTGATGATGTGAAATGGGCTCATATGACAGCTTATGTTCTAGACAATATTTTAGACAACTTCAAAATGCCATAAGGAACCGTTTTTAATGAAAAAAGTAATATGGAAGAATGATTAAAGCGTATGTAAACGCTAATAATGAACTTCTCTTATTTGTTCCCATTTTATCTGTTAAATATAGTGTTTTGTTATACATGTTCAAAAATACCTGTTGATCATGTTGGAAATCCAGTATGTTCTGTGCTCTGTGCATTCTGGTATGACAACAGAACACGTGTCCAATATGTTATGGAGACTGGAAGAGGAAGAGGGGAAGGTGTTCTATAGTCTTAATACACGTCTTGTCCTTGGGTGACAACACTGTTCTTCTCTAGGTACAGTACAGTGTGTGAGCATTGTCACGCTTGTCAGGAAATGTCTTACTAGAAGGGTTCACTGGGTGAAAATTAAGGAAAAAAAGCCAGAGAAAATAACAGGAATGCCACCACTGCATCTAAGGACTGGCAAACCGTGATATATTACATTATTGTTCTTGGGTTCAGATACGCTTTTAATGAATAAATGCACTTTTAAAGAGCACCCTTAGTACTGGGGAAAATGATATGCTGTAGAGCCCTGGTGCCCAACCTGCGGCCCAAGGGCCACATGTGGCACTTTGGCACTTTTTGTGTGGCCCTCATGGTCTCTGCAGGTACTAATCTGTGTTCCCCTATTGCTCTGTTATACCAGTTATTTGTAGCAGCTTCATGAAGTACATCTCCAGTCTATGACTGACTCCTGAAGCATGTCCCTAGTCTCAAATTCTCCTGCAGCATGTTTGCAGTCTTTGACCATCTCCTGTACCATGCATATAGTCTTTGGCTATATATTACTTAAAATTCACAGAAGTTTATGTGTGGCCCTTTGGTGATGTTGGGGGCCTGCACCTGAACCCCTCATATCAAGAAAGTTGCTCACCACTGATGTAGAGGAAGAAGGCAAAGAATATACCCTTTTTTCAGTTGTTACAGTGACTTTTTAGTCACTTGACCTCTGAAAGGTTTTACCCCCTTCATAACCAAGGCATTTTTTGCTATTCAGTACTGTGCAACTTTAACTGGCAATTGCTCGGCCATGCAACACTGTACCCAAATGAAATTTATAACATGTTTTCACAGAAATAGAGCTTCCCTGTGTGGGTATTTATTTATCACTGGGTTTTTAATTCTTTGCTATATAAACAAAAAAATACCCAAAATTTTGAAAAAAAAAACCCCCACATTTTTCTTTGTTTCTGTTATAACATTTTGCAAACAAGTAATCTTTTATCATAAATTTAGGCCAACCTGTAATCTGCTACATTTCTTTGGTAAACGTAATCCCAAATAGTGTATATTATTTAGTCTGTGTGAGAGTTAGTCTACAAATTATGGTATATATTAGGGATGGACTGATACCATTTTTTGATCCATAAGTACAAGTACCGATACCGATGTATAGACGCAAATTGCACCTCAAAGAATATCATGCGCTTTGAACAGGAATGCGATTCCTGTCTGAATCACATGTGGTTTCCACACTGCTCCTGTGTGAACTCAGGCTTGTTATAGCCTGCATTCACACAGGAGTGGTGCGGGAAACCTCCCTGCACTAATCCCATGCTGAGCGGAGAATTGGAGAGAAGTGCGTTTGGGGATGTATACATGGGTGTCGGCTATCAGGCAGAGGATGAAGGCAGATGCTCCAGATTCTCAGCTGTGGGAGAGTTGAGAAGCCATGGGGATTTGAAATCCTCTCCTTGCAGGGATGACAGTACAGGCTAAATGAATTTTGATTGGTCAGCACCGTTACCTTCGTGAATTTGGTCCATGTTTTAAAGGGCCAATACCTCCAGAAAAGTGTCACAAATGTTTTAATGGTTTTCCACTTATAGGTTTGTTATTTGTGGGTCTTTGTTATAAAGAAAACAAGCAAGTTTTGCTAATATACATGCCCATTTGATGTCTATATAAAATGAAAACAGAACACATGTGTGAAAAGACAAAATGATAAGGAACATGTTGCTTATCAAAGTGTAATGTGTGCTGTGTGTACAAGATTTACAGTCTCATTTTCTTTTTTCATTTCCAGCTGAGGATGTTTGATTCAAATAATGATGGAAAACTAGGACTTACAGAGATGGCACGGTAAGAGTAGAAATGAAAGGTTAAATGTCTGTCTGATTGTCCATTAAGCCATTTACAGCCATGAACAGTGCACCCCCGAGTGCAGCAGTAAACATTAGACAGCGATTTTATGAATGCCCTGGTAACCTTGATGTGTGCTGTGATTGGCACTTGGCAAGAACAGTGCAGTACATCAGGAAGGTAGTATGTATGAATACTGTGTAGACTGTAGAGGATATACAGTGGAAAGGAAAAGTCTATACACCCCTGTAAAAATTCCAGGTTTCTTGATGTGTAAAAAAAGTCAGACCAAGATAAATCACTTCTGAATTTTTCCACCTTTAATGTGACCTATACTCTGCAATTCAATTAAAAACACACTAAAACAAAGTTTGTAAATGGATAGAAAACTGGCCAAAAGATTGTATTCAGAGAGTAGTGGTTAATGATTCATACTCTGAATGGTCTAGGGTCATCAGTGGTGTACCCCAAGGTTCAGTGTTGGGACCCTTACTTTTTAATATATTTATAAACGATATAGGGTCTGGGATTAAAAATCCCATTTCAGTCTTTGTAGATGACACCAAGCTGTGCAGTGGAATAACATCCTTACAGGATGTCTCCAATTTACAAGCCGACCTCAATGCACTGTTTAATTGGGCAACTATGTGGCAAATGAGGTTTAATGTTGATAAATGTACGGTTATGCACTGGGGGGGCTAAGAATATGCATGCATCATACATACTAGGGGGGTACAACTGGGGGAATCAATGGTGGAGAAGGATCTGGGAGTCATGGTAGATCACAAGCTTAATAATGGCATGCAATGCCAAACTGCGGTTTCTAAAGTGAGCAAAATCCTCTCCTGTATTAAAAGAGGTATAGACTCCAGAGAGAGAGATATCATATTACCCCCGGTACAAATCATTAGTAAGACCTCATCTGGAATATGCAGTTCAGTTTTGGGCACCAATTCACGAAAAGAACATTGGGGAACTGGAAAAAGTGCAGAGAAGGGCAATCAAATTGATAAGGGGCATGGAGGAGCTCAGATATGAGCAAAGATTAGAGAAACTGAATCTATTCTCTCTTGAGAACAGGAGATTTAAAGGGGATATGATCAACATGTATAAATACATCAGTGGTTCATATAGTGAACTTGGTGTAGATTTATTCACTTTAAGGTCATCACAGAGGACAAGGGGGCACAGTTTACGTCTGGAGGAAAAAGGGATTTAATCTCAAAATACGGAAAGGCTTCTTCACAGTAAGAGCTATGAAAATGTGGAATAGGCTCCCTCAAGAGCTGGTTCTGGCCAACCCAATAGATTGTTTTTAAAAAAAGGCCTGGATTCTTTCATAAATTGACATAATATAACTAGATTCTAATATGTATGGGTAAAGTTGATCCAGGGAATATCCGATTGCCTCTTGGGAGATCAGGAAGGATTGTTTTTCCCTGAAGCAAATTGGATCATGCTATATTTGGGTTTTTTTGCCTTCCTCTGGATCAGCTATGAGGTGGGTTTAGGAATGTTTATATAGGATTGTATGTATGTGTGTGTGTGTGTGTATATATGTATATATATATATATATATATATATATATATATATATATATATATATATATATATATATATTATCCCCCCTTTTAATGGTTGAACTAGGTGGACATGTATCTTTTTTTTCAACCAGATTAACTATGTAACTATGTAACAAAAACATAAAACTTACAATTATGTGGTTGCACAAATATGCAGACCCTTAAACTAATGCTTTGTTGAAGCACCTTTACATTTGATGATGGTATTCAGTCTTTTTAGGTAACAGTCTATTAACATGGCACATCTTGTCTTCTGAATCTTTGCCTATCTTCCTTGCAAAAGCGCTCCATATCTGTCAGTTTGTGAGGGCATCTCCTGTGCACAGCCCTCTTCAGGTCACCCAAAGACCCCTAGTTCACCAACAGTCCAAGTCTGAGCTCCGGCTGGGCCACTCCAAAACTTTGATCCTCTTCTGGTGAGGTGTTCTTTGGGTTGGTATAGTGCTGAAAGGTGAAATTACTCTTCATCTTCAGTGATTTAGCAGAGGCCGTAAGATTTTCTGCCAAAATTGACTGATACTTAGAACTGTCCCCCCCCCCCACCTTGACTTAGGCCTGGCTCACACTGTCGCTGGTGGCTGCAATTCCCACACCTGTAAAACACACTGCTGTTTAACCCCTCCACTCCAAATGTATGCGAATATGCGGCCCAACTGGACTGGGCTTTTTTCCATGGGGCCACATAATTGCATACCTGTCTTTGTGCTGGGAGCACACCGCGTGAAGCACTCCCAGCACAAAGGCCAAGTTCTCACTGAAAACCGTGGTCCAGTTCTAACGATCGAGACTGAACTCCCAATTCCAGGTCACCTGATTGTTGTGTGATAGCCTCTGATTGGCTATCACAGTGATCAATTACAGTGAAGCCTGCCCCCTTGTTTTCTCTCTCTGAATGGAGAAGATACAATGTATCTCTCTCTGTCCCTTAAGTGTGTGTAAAATAAAAACAAAAATTAAATAAAAATAATTGAAAAAAAAAAAATTACCGTATTTGCCGGCGTATAAGACGACTGGGCGTATAAGACGACCCCCTACTTTTCCTGTTAAAATATAGGGTTTGAGCTATACTCGCCGTATAAGACTACCCCTCTTCCAACGCACACCAAATAAAAATGAAAAAAACATCAGATTTGATTTCAATATGGTATGCTATTTCAGTATGGTATTCCAATGATGGGGCACTATTCCTCCCACTGACACCAATGATGGGGCATGATTCCTCCCACTGATACCAATGATGAGGCACTACTCCTCCCACTGACACTAATGGTGCCCCATCAGTAGTGTCAGTGTGTGAGGAATAGTGTCCCATCATTAGTGTCAGTGGGAGGAATAGTGCCCCATCATTGGTGTCAGTGGATGAAATAGTGCCCCATCATTAGTGTCAGTGGGAGGAATAGTGCCTCATCATTTGTATCAGTGGGAGGAATCATGCCCCATCATTGGTGTCAGTGGGAGGAATAGTGTCCCATCATTTGTATCAGTGGGAGGAATCATGCCCCATCATTGGTGTCAGTGGGAGGAATAGCACCCCATCATTGGTATCAGTGGGAGGAATAGTGCCCCATCATTGGTGTCAGTGGGGAGGAATAGTGCCCCATGGTTGGTGTCAGTGGGGAGGAGGAATAGTGCCCATGGTTGGTGTCAGTGGGGAGGAGGAATAGTGCCCCATGGTTGGTGTCAGTGGGGGAGGAATAGTGCCCCATCATTGGTGTCAGTGGGGAGAATAGTGCCCCATCATTGGTATCAGTGGGGAGAAAAGTGCCCCATCATTGGTGTCAGTGGGGGAGTGAATAGTGCCCCATCATTGGTGTCAGTGGGGGAGGAATAGTGCCCCATCATTGGTGTCAGTGGGGGAGGAATAGTGCCCCATCATTGGTGTCAGTGGGGGAGGAATAGTGCCCCATCGTTGGTGTCAGTGGGGGTGGAATAGTGCCCCATCATTGGTGTCAGTGGGGGAGGAATAGTGCCCCATCATTGGTGTCAGTGGGGAGAATAGTGCCCCATCATTGGTGTCAGTGGGGGAGGAATAGTGCCCCATCATTGGCTGTCAGTGTGGAGGAGGAATAGTGCCCCATCGTTAGTGTCAGTGGGGGAGAGGAGCGGCTGCTCCTTCTTTCAGTTCGGCAGCTTGATTTTCGCGGGGCCGTTCGGCTCCGCCTCCTCGCCGGTGATTGGTCGCCTGTGTGCGCTGGCGCCCAATCACCGGTAAGGAGGCGGAGCCGAGCGGCCGCGTGACCATCGAGCGGCCGAACTGAAAGAAGGAGCAGCCGCGCTTCCTGGACCGGATCATCGTGGGACCGGGACCGGAGCCAGGTAAGGTACAGCAGCCCCTCTGCCCACCCCTGTACTTAGTGTCCGTTGGAGGACACCGCCCCTGGAAAAAGTGCCGCCCTGACATACCAGACGTATAAGACGACCCCCGACTTTTCAGAAGATTTTCAGGGGTTGAAAAGTCGTCTTATACGCGGCAAATACGGTAAATTTAGATCAAGTTTTGATCTAGGTCAGTGCCAGGGTTAGTGTTTCTGCCAAGGTCAGGGTCAAGGGACAGGAATTTTTTGTTTTGGTCAGGATTTTTTTTTTAAATTTTTAAATTAGTATCAGTGTTTAGTTAGTGGCAGAATAAAAAAAAAAGCAAAATGCACACTATTGCTTCTGGGCTGTATTACAGGTACATACAACAACTAAAATACACATATGTGATATCGCTGCAATTGTCAGGAGCAGGAAAAATTATTTTGGGTTGTTCTTTGATGGTAGGTTATCGTATTGACAAGAAATATACAGCTAAATTAAAAAAAAAATTTGTTTACCATTTTGGGCCAGTTTTGCTTTGATAAAAATTAAAAAAACAGGAGATATCTATTACTATTTACCACCAAATGAAAGTCAAATTTGTCCTAAAAAAACAAAGTATAATTCGCCTGGATAAACAAAGTAGTTCTGATGATATGTACAGTTTTGCTAACACGTCAAAGTTGCAAAATTGCACTTAGGCGTTAAAATTTGTTTTACCCTTAGGTGCGAAGGGATTAAAAACTCAGGGGGATGCCATTCATTTTTAATGGCACCCCCACACATCTCAAACCATAGCGCTTTTGCAGGTGCATGAACCGATGGGAAATCACATGGTGCAAAAGCTGAAGATCCAGCTGAAGAAAAGTAGTCCCAAACATATAGCTGCCACCACCATGCTTCACTATAGGTATGGTGTTTTTTTGTGATGTGCAGTGTTGATTTTGTGACAAATATACATTTTGGAATTATTGCCAAAAAAGTTTAATCTTGGTCTTATCAGACCATAAAATACGGTATTTTCCCACATGCTTTTACCAGACATGATGTAGTTTTTTGCAAAATGTACCAGGCTTGAATGTTATTTTAGTAAGAAAAAAGAGAAGTATGGGTTAAAAAAAAAACCCTTTAAACTCACCTAGGTGGATTAAAAGAGAAGTATAGGTTACAAAAAAAAAAACCTTTATACTCACCTAGGTGGATGCAGCATCAGTCTGATGCTGCAGCTGTTCCCTGTTGGCTCTGAACTGAGATCGCTCAGTTCTCCCCTCTGCTTTGAGCAGAGAGTGGTCACTGTCAGACACTGGCTCTTGGCTCTTGGCTCTTGGCTCCCCTCCAGCACTCACTGGAGAGCTGGGCTGTGGAAAGGGAAAGAGCAGCTGACTCAGGCTCTCAGCGACTCACTGAGAGGCTGAGCCAGCTGCTGGTCTTTCTAGAACCTGGCCCGGCTGAGTGACGTCAGACAACGTTGTGCTTTAGCGTGCTGCCGACTGAAAATGGTTCAAGGAGTGCTGAATGAATTGCAATCCTGTGATCCCCAGGAAAAAGTATAGCCCAAATGCTTTGGCTATACTTCTTTAATGCTGCTGTAGGCCTCTTGGCAGCTTCCCAGACCAGTTTTCTTCTTGATGTTTTTTCTATAATTTTTGGAGGATCATCCAGTTCTAGGTAATGTCACTTTTGTGCCATATTTTCTCTCCTTGTTGGTCCCATGGTATATCAAATGCCTTGGAAAGTTTTTTTGTATCTTCTCCTGACTGATACCTTCCTATCATGAGATCCCTTTGATGCTTTGTAAGCGCTTTGTGGAACAAGGCTTTTGTTGTGAGAGGCAACTGAGTCAATGTTAGAAAATTCCTACTAGAACAGATGAACTTTGTATAGACTTAGTCAGAGTCACTTTCACTAATGGCAGGTGTGTACTGACTAACAAGAGTTAAGAAAGAAATACACAAGCATTCATTGCTGCAATAATTTTGAAGGTACACTACATTATTCAAGGATTTCCTTCTTATCCTCCTTTCACTATTTGATGAAACACTAATCCAGAACAAGATGGTGAAGCGGGTGCTGGGATTCCCCATGCACATAATTTGCTGTAGGGCAGTGACATAGTGAATAACCTAATGATGATCCCCTGAACCCATATCTTCAAAATACGACAGCAATGACAGTTCCTAATATGTATTTCCTAACAAATTCCCTTTAAGCTAAAAAAAAGGATATAAGAAAATGATTCCTTCAGTGCAGTAAATAAATGTTGTAAGTAAAATGTGAGCATATAACCAATCTTAAAAACAATTGAGTACTGTGTGTCATACTTTTTTTATTTGCACTTACATCCACATTTTTGGGATGTACCACCTTCTTCAAGGTCAAAGCAGTAGTAATACACAAAGTTTTAGCAGAATGGTAAGTAAGAGAATTTCTAAGGGAAAAAGGTACAAACAAACATACAAAGCAATAGTAGTTAAACTTGGATAGTTAGTGAGACAAGGCAGAGAGAGGGCAATAGACTGGGAGGGGGAGTAACAGTCACAAAGGTGAGGAGGATGGTCCTAAAACTTTTGGATAATGATTTAGAAAGCCAAGGTCAACATTTAGTCCCGTATCTTTTGTGTCAAATAGAATTATCATTCTTAGTTCAAAAGTTTTACTTCCCTGAGTAGTTTTGAAGTTCCCTTTAAGAGCTGAAACTTCCATGCCTTCCGTAGTGTGGTCTGGTTGTGAGAAATGTTGATCCACAGGTGTGCAGAAATCATCTTCCTTACAGTATGTTCCTTAATAGTGTCTATGTAAATTCATCCTTATCATAAAAGCACCAAGATCTAGATGAGAATTTGACTAGTTCAGATTATTAAACCCAGCATTGTTTGAGAAGTGGGGTAAAAATGTAAACGTATGGACAACTGGATATCCAGAATATGACAGATGTAGAATAAACAGGAGATGCAAACTGAGTAGGGGAAGGACAGGTGGCATTAGATTAGTTTTCATTTTCACAACATCATAGATCAGGGTTTTGAGGAGAGCAAAGAATGATTAAGGTGGCCCTTTTGCCATACCTTTTGCACATGACCGTAACCAACAAGCACTGCTCATTTCAAAAAAATAGAAGTGAGAGGAAAAGGAGAGGGTGGGTAGCTCATGGAGGATATTACAAGGAGGCAGAAAGACACACTAAGAAACAATTTCATTAAAAATAGTTTACATGGCCATTAAGTAGTGAATGAATTGTATTGGAGAATAAAGATATTGTTTAGTGTCACTTTAAAACCCTTTTTGGAAGTCTTGATTGTGTGAATTATTTACTAACCATTTAAATAAACTGTAAATTTGACTTGTGATTTTAAACTGCAGTCTTGGTATTTTTTTGCATTTTTCTCATAGGTTACTACCTGTACAAGAAAACTTCCTTCTTAAATTCCAGGTATGAATCACATTTTACTCCAACACAGTAATATGATGGTAAAGGAGCCAAATATTCTAAATGTATTCCTTTTATCCTTTCATTTTTAGGGTGTCAAGATGTGTAACAAAGAGTTCAATAAGGCTTTTGAATTATATGATAAGGTATGATAAGATAATTCTGTATTTATTGCATTGTTGTTTATGTAGATTTTCTACCACAGCCCAATTATGTGCACCAAAAAGAATTTACACAGAACATTTTATTTTAAACTACTCATGATTTTTTTCTCACAACTATTTTTTTAATTTAATATTTAAAAAATCAACCTAAATCATTTAGGGCCCATTTGCACTGCACTGTGCTTGTTGTGTTGGGCTGGGCTGTATTGCACTCAGTGAATGGAAAAAATAGTGCAAGATCCATTCTGTAGTGGTATGTCGCTGCGCATGTTTGCAGTGGGGGCGCCTTGGGGTTCACAGCAACGCAACAACACACGTACTGCAGTAATTTTACCATGCATTACTGCAGTGTGCATGTGTAACAGGCCTTTAGACATTGAAGTGTTTAGTGAATTATAACACATTATATGTCCCCAAAAGGGTTAAGACAGAAATAATAAGGGATAGAGGGATTTGGTTCCAAAAGAGGGACTTTCCTTACAGTAGAGGTGCAGTCAGAAGCTGTGAAATAGTTTCAGAATAGTACTTTTTGTCTAAATAACTAGCTGAAGGTAATACCAATAATAGATAACTGCCAGAAACCATAGCAAACTTTCAAAGGCTTCTTCATCTTGCTGAAAAAGGATCTCTGTTCCTT